TGTGTGTGTGAGAGAACACTGTGCCCACAGCGGGTATGTGTGAAGTGTGTGAGAGAGAACACTGTGCCCACAGCGGGTATGTGTGAAGTGTGTGTGTGTGTGAGAGAACACTGTGCCCACAGCGGGTATGTGTGAAGTGTGTGCGTGAGAGAGAACACTGTGCCCACAGCGGGTATGTGTGAAGTGTGTGTGTGAGAGAACACTGTGCCCACAGCGGGTATGTGTGAAGTGTGTGTGTGAGAGAACACTGTGCCCACAGCGGGTATGTGTGAAGTGTGTGTGTTAGAGAGAACACTGTGCCCACAGCGGGTATGTGTGAAGTGTGTGTGTGTGAGAGAACACTGTGCCCACAGCGGGTATGTGTGAAGTGTGTGTGTTAGAGAGAACACTGAGCCCACAGCGGGTATGTGTGAAGTGTGTGTGTGAGAGAGGGAACACTGTGCCCACAGCGGGTATTTGTGAAGTGTGTGAGAGAGAGGGAAAACTGTGCCCACAGCGGGTATGTGTGAAGTGTGTGTGTGAGAGAACACTGTGCCCACAGCGGGTATGTTTGAAGTGTGTGTTAGAGAGAGAACACTGTGCCCACAGCGGGTATGTGTGTGTGTGAGAGAACACTGTGCCCACAGCGGGTATGTGTGTGTGTGAGAGAACACTGTGCCCACAGCGGGTATGTGTGAAGTGTGTGAGAGAGAACACTGTGCCCACAGCGGGTATGTGTGAAGTGTGTGTGTGTGTGAGAGAACACTGTGCCCACAGCGGGTATGTGTGAAGTGTGTGCGTGAGGGAGAACACTGTGCCCACAGCGGGTATGTGTGAAGTGTGTGTGTGAGAGAACACTGTGCCCACAGCGGGTATGTGTGAAGTGTGTGTGTGAGAGAACACTGTGCCCACAGCGGGTATGTGTGAAGTGTGTTTGTTAGAGAGAACACTGTGCCCACAGCGGGTATGTGTGAAGTGTGTGTGTGTGTGAGAACACTGTGCCCACAGCGGGTATGTGTGAAGTGTGTGTGTTAGAGAGAACACTGAGCCCACAGCGGGTATGTGTGAAGTGTGTGTGTGAGAGAGGGAACACTGTGCCCACAGCGGGTATTTGTGAAGTGTGTGAGAGAGAGGGAACACTGTGCCCACAGCGGGTATCTGTGATGTGTGTGTGTGAGAGAGAACACTGTGCCCACAGCGGGTATGTGTGAAGTGTGTGTTAGAGAGAGAACACTGTGCCCACAGCGGGTATGTGTGAAGTGTGTGTTAGAGAGAGAACACTGTGCCCACAGCGGGAATGTGTGAAGTGTGTGTTAGAGAGAGAACACTGCCCACAGCGGGTATTTGTGAAGTGTGTGTGAGAGAGAACACTGTGCCCACAGCGGGTATGTGTGAAGTGTGTGTGTGTGAGAGAACACTGTGCCCACAGCTGGTATGTGTGTGTGTGAGAGAGAGAACACTGTGCCCACACCACAGCGGGTATGTGAGAAGTGTGTCTGTGAGAGAACATTGTGCCCACAGCGGATATGTGTGAAGTGTGTGTGTGAGAGAACACTGTGCCCACAGCGGGTATGTGTGAAGTGTGTGTGTTAGAGAGGGAACACTGTGCCCACAGCGGGTATGTGTGAAGTGTGTGTGAGAGAGAACACTGTGCCCACAGCGGGTATGTGTGAAGTGTGTGTGTGTGAGAGAACCCTGTGCCCACAGCGGGTATGTGTGAAGTGTGTGTTAGAGAGAGAACACTGTGCCCACAGCGGGTATGTGTGAAGTGTGTGTGAGAGAGAACACTGTGCCCACAGCGGTTATGTGTGAAGTGTGTGTGTGAGAGAACACTGTGCCCACAGCGGGTATGTGTGAAGTGTGTGTGTGAGAGAGAGAACACTGTGCCCACAGCGGGTATGTGTGAAGTGTGTGTGTGTGTGAGAGAACACTGTGCCCACAGCGGGTATGTGTGAAGTGTGTGAGAGAGAACACTGTGCCCACAGCGGATATGTGTGAAGTGTGTGTGTGTGTGAGAGAACACTGTGCCCACAGCGGGTATGTGTGAAGTGTGTGCGTGAGAGAGAACACTGTGCCCACAGTGGGTATGTGTGAAGTGTGTGTGAGAGAGAACACTGTGCCCACAGCGGGTATGTGTGAAGTGTGTGTGTGTGAGAGAACACTGTGCCCACAGCGGGTATGTGTGAAGTGTGTGTGTGAGAGAGAGAACACTGTGCCCACAGCGGGTATGTGTGAAGTGTGTGTGTGAGAGAACACTGTGCCCACAGCGGGTATGTGTGAAGTGTGTGTGTGTGAGAGAACACTGTGCCCACAGCGGGTATGTGTGAAGTGTGTGTGTGTGAGAGAACACTGTGCCTACAGCGGGTATGTGTGAGAGAACACTGTGCCCACAGCGGGTATGTGTGTGTGTGAGAGAACACTGTGCCCACAGCGGGTATGTGTGAAGTGTGTGAGAGAGAACACTGTGCCCACAGCGGATATGTGTGAAGTGTGTGTTGTGAGAGAGAACACTGTGCCCACAGCGGGTATGTGTGAAGTGTGTGCGTGAGAGAGAACACTGTGCCCACAGTGGGTATGTGTGAAGTGTGTGTGAGAGAGAACACTGTGCCCACAGCGGGTATGTGTGAAGTGTGTGTGTGTGAGAGAACACTGTGCCCACAGCGGGTATGTGTGAAGTGTGTGTGTGAGAGAGAGAACACTGTGCCCACAGCGGGTATGAGTGATGTGTGTGTGTGAGAGAGAACACTGTGCCCACAGCGGGTATGTGTGAAGTGTGTGTGTGAGAGAACACTGTGCCCACAGCGGGTATGTGTGAAGTGTGTGTGTGTGAGAGAACACTGTGCCCACAGCGGGTATGTGTGTGTGTGAGAGAACACTGTGCCCACAGCGGGTATGTGTATGTGTGAGAGAACACTGTGCCCACAGCGGGTATGTGTGAAGTGTGTGAGAGAGAACACTGTCCCCACAGCGGGTATGTGTGAAGTGTGTGTGTGTGTGAGAGAACACTGTGCCCACAGCGGGTATGTGTGAAGTGTGTGCGTGAGAGAGAACACTGTGCCAACAGCGGGTATGTGTGAAGTGTGTGTGTGAGAGAACACTGTGCCCACAGCGGGTATGTGTGAAGTGTGTGTGTGAGAGAACACTGTGCCCACAGCGGGTATGTGTGAAGTGTGTGTGTGTGAGAGAACACTGTGCCCACAGCGGGTATGTGTGAAGTGTGTGTGTTAGAGAGAACACTGAGCCCACAGCGGGTATGTGTGAAGTGTGTGTGTGAGAGAGGGAACACTGCCCACAGCGGGTATTTGTGAAGTGTGTGAGAGAGAGGGAACACTGTGCCCACAGCGGGTATGTGTGAAGTGTGTGTGTTAGAGAACACTGTGCCCACAGCGGGTATGTTTGAAGTGTGTGTTAGAGAGAGAACACTGTGCCCACAGCGGGTATGTGTGAAGTGAGTGTGTGAGAGAACACTGTGCCCCTAGCGGGTATGTCTGAAGTGTGTGTTGTGTGAGAGAACACTGTGCCCACAGCGGGTATGTGTGAAGTGTGTTTTAGAGAGAGAACACTGTGCCCACAGCGGGTATGTGTGAAGTGTGTGTGTGTGTGAGAGAACACTGTGCCCACAGCGGGTATGTGTGAAGTGTGTGTGTGTGAGAGAGAGAGAGAGAGAAAACACTGTGCCCACAGCGGGTATGTGTGAAGTGTGTGTGTGAGAGAACACTGTGCCCACAGCGGGTATGTGTGAAGTGTGTGTTTGAGAGAGAGAGAGAGAGAACACTGTGCCCACAGCGGATATGTGTGAAGTGTGTGCGTGAGAGAACACTGTGCCCACAGCGGGTATGTGTGAAGTGTGTGTGTGTGAGAGAGAGAGAGAGAACACTGTGCCCACAGCGGGTATGTGTGAAGTGTGTGCGTGAGAGAACACTGTGCCCACAGCGGGTATGTGTGAAGTGTGTGTGTGTGAGAGAACACTGTGCCCACAGCGGGTATGTGTGAAGTGTGTGTGAGAGAACACTGTGCCCACAGCGGGTATGTGTGAAGTGTGTGTGTGTGTGTGTGAGAGAACACTGTGCCCACAGCGGGTATGTGTGAAGTGTGTGTTAGAGAGAGAACACTGCGCCCACAGCGGGTATGTGTGAAGTGTGTATGAGAGAGAACACTGTGCCCACCGCGGGTATGTGTGAAGTGTGTGTGTGTGTGTGTGAGAGAACACTGTGCCCTCAGCGGGTATGTGTGAAGTGTGTGTTAGAGAGAGAACACTGTGCCCACAGCGGGTATGTGTGAAGTGTGAGAGAGAGAACACTGTGCCCACACCACAGCGGGTATGTGTGAAGTGTGTGTGAGAGAGAACACTGTGCCCACAGCGGGTATGTGTGAAGTGTGTGAGAGAGAGAACACTGTGCCCACAGCGGGTATGTGTGAAGTGTGTGTGAGAGAGAACACTGTGCCCACCGCGGGTATGTGTGAATTGTGTGTGTGTGTGTGTGAGAGAACACTGTGCCCTCAGCGGGTATGTGTGAAGTGTGTGTTAGAGAGAGAACACTGTGCCCACAGCGTGTATGTTTGAAGTGTGTTTGAGAGAACACTGTGCCCACAGCGGGTATGTGTGAAGTGTGTGTGTGTGAGAGAACACTGTGCCCACAGCGGGTATGTGTGAAGTGTGAGAGAGAGAACACTGTGCCCACACCACAGCGGGTATGTTTGAAGTGTGTGTGAGAGAGAACACTGTGCCCACAGCGGGTATGTGTGAAGTGTGTGAGAGAGAGAACACTGTGCCCACAGCGGGTATGTGTGAAGTGTGTGTGTGTGAGAGAGAGAGAAAGAACACTGTGCCCATAGCGGGTATGTGTGAAGTGTGTGTGTTAGAGAGAACACTGTGCCCACAGCGGGTATGTGTGAAGTGTGTGTGAGAGAGGGAACACTATGCGCACAGCAGGTCCTCTCTGAAGACCTTGACTCCCGTGCAGTGCCTAGGCCTAGGATAGATTGGATAGCTAAGTCCCCCCCCACCCCGGGATCGGAAATTACCTCCTGATTCCATAGACAAAAGCCAGAGAAAGGTTCTGGAGCACCACAATAACGACGAGGACCATAGGGACCAGGTGGTCATCAAACAGGAACACCACGTAGCTGCCCAGAAGTCCTCCCAAGCAGACAGTCACTAAGGGTGGAAGTGGATGGGGTACACTGGGGGTTGTGAGCTGGGGGTCCATGTGACTCCGGGATGCTTCGGGTGAGGTAAGTGAGAGGAAGATTACTAGGTAGGGGCTTTTGTACCTGGTATCAGTTTGGGATACTTCTCGAAGGTTGGGATGTTTCTCTGTAGAGGAAGCACAATACTCTCCAGGAGCGTTGTCAGTGTGGCCAGACCCATGATTACAAGGGCAATGAAAAAGATGATGGCCCAGAAAGAGGAGCCAGGAAACAGCGAGATGACTTGAGAGAAGGCCACGTATGCCAGGCCAGGGCCCTCCATGAACTGTGGGGAGAAGAGCTCTAAGGCAGGGCAGGGTCTGGATGGATGGGGTTGGGAGAGTACTTCATTAGTCATGTCTGCCACTCAGCGTGGAAATCGAGGAGGTTAAAGTGTTCAAAGTTGTCCCTCCTTGGCTATGCGACCTGAGTGACATTCATTTTCTGGGTCTCTTGAAGTGAGCTACAATGTAGCTGTGGCACACAGATGTGGAGGGGAGCCAAGATCAGAACTCTTGGCTGCGGGGAGGCCACTAGACCAGCCTCCTTGACAAACACACCTTTTCCTTCTGTACCAGGATGCTGCAGGGTGGGGAGAAACGGACCACATCCGCCTGGAGCTGGCTGGGGAGCTGACTGATCCAGTCCATGTATTCTACTGGAGGTTTATGAATGATGCCTTGGGGAGGCCAGGCAGCCTGGGACAGCACACCTTTGATTATCAGATCGACCAGCTTGTTGACACTCCTGCTAGCATAGGAAGAGAAAAGAAGACGATAGAGAATGGTCTGGCTCTCCAAGCATCACCAACGAAGGAGGAGGAGAATCGCATACAGATATACACTATCATGGCTCTGGAAGCCCATGGTTGGGGGCTGTGTGTGTGTGATATATGTGATGTGTATATGGTGTGTGTGTGTGTGGTGTGTGATGTATGTGATGTACATGGTGTGTGATGTGTGTATGTGGTGTGTGTGGTGTGTAGTGCGGTGTGTGTGTGTGTGTGTGTGTGTGTGTGTGGTTGTATGTGATATGTGTGTGTGTAAGTGAGCCACCCTGGGCGGTGGTGGCGCACGCCTTTAATCCCAGCACTCGGGAAGCAGAGGCAGGTGGATCTTTGAGTTCGAGGCCAACCTGGTCTACAGAGTGAGTTCCAGGACAGCCAGGGCTACAGAGAGAAACCCTGTCTCAGAAAAACAAAACAAAACAACTCAAAAGAGTTAGGCCATGAGATAGTTCAGTGGACAGATCACTTGCCATTCAAACTTGGAGTTTGATCTCTGAACCACACAAGAGAGAAGCAGACTCCACAGAACTGTGTTCTGACCTCCACACGCATACCCAGATGTGCACGTGCAGGTGCACACATGCACCAAGCAGACAGACAGACAGACATTGCTGCTAACCCTTGACATCCTAACTGGAAGGAAAACTCTCAAGCCTCTGAAAGCTACAGCAATGAAACAAAAGAGCAAGGAGAGGCTTGTGGGAGGACTCAGAAGGAAGGGAGGAGGAATTACATGACAATATCTCAAAAGATAAAAGAAATAATTCAAAGTGTATAAGAAAATTGGTGTATGCAAAACAAATTCCAGTTCTGTGCCCATTGTGATGGCACATACCTTTATTATCTTGTGTGTATGGTTGTTTTGTCTTCATGTATGTGTGTGTTTGTCTACCTCATGTGGGCAATGTCCTCAGAGGCCAGAAGAGGGTGTTAGGTCCCTGGGCTGGACCTATATAGATGGTTGGAAGTCAACATGTGGGTGCTGAGTACTGAACCCCGGGTCCTATGGAGGAGCAGCAAGTTTGCTTCTTTGTTTTGGTTTCTTGAGACAGGGTTTCTCTCTGTAGCCCTGGCTGTCCTGGAACTCGCTCTGTAGATCAGGCTGGCCTCGAACTCAGAGAACCAACTGCCAGGGCCTCCAGAGTGTGCCACCATCGCCTGGCTGCTGTCAGTGTTCTTAACCACTGAGCAATCTCTCTAGTCCTGGCACACACCTTTAATCCCAGCACTGGGAGGCAGAGACAGGCAAATCTCTACGAATGTGAAGCCAGCTTGGTCTACAGAGTGAAGTACAGGCCAGCCATAGATAGACAGTGAGACCTTGTCTCAAACAACAAAAACAAAACAAAGCAAAAAGAAACAAACACACCCCAGTATCTGGCTACAGCTAGAAAAAAAAAAGCAGAGCGACTGGGCAAAGCGCAAACACCTGGTGCTTCCCAACTCAAACACAGCCCGTGCCAACAGCTGCCGCCCGCATCGTGGCAGCTGGGACATCGTGGCAAGCTGTGACAGCAGCCTTGCGGGTTAAAGAAGCAACTTGAAAATGATCCTTAGCTTCATCTGCAATTTCTAGAACTGTCCTCTTCCGTTAGGCAGTGGTTGTTTACTCTGAGGATGAGGTGAAGTGGGGTTCAACGGAAGGGTCTGACCGACAGGACTGTGGTGCTGAAGGGGAGCTGAGGAGGGAAAGCTTCTGCTAACATTGCCAGGATGTGCCACTCACTTCTCAACACAGCTGGGCCCGCTGGTTGTGGTCCAGAAGCCCAGCACCAGAAAGATGATGGCTGTGCTCAGCAACGACGTCACCAGGTTGGCCATGGCCACAAAGAAGGCCAACTTGAGGTAGTTGTCACCTCTAGTCTGGTAGGAAGAGAAAGTGATGATGGTGCCCATGCCAAGGCCGAGGGAGTAGAGCACATGGCCTCCAGCCTGACGCCATGTGTCCAGCGATGACAAGACAGAGAGCTGTGGAGGAGAGGGTTCCCAGGTGAGGTGAGGCCGACAGAGCAACGAACCTGGGAGGCCTGGGGAGTGAGGTAGAGAGGGACTCACCTCTATGGTCACCAGGCGCCTGAGGCTAGCCATCGCTCCTCGCAGGAAGAGACTGCGGATGAAGAAGCAGCAGAGGAGGATATAGGGGAAGAATATGGAGAAAATCAGCATCTAGGCAGGTAGGTCACAAGAAGCAGGAGAAGGAAGATAGAGAAAACATTAGTGAGGTTGAGGGTGGGCAGGATGCTGTGAGGAGGAGGGAGGTGCTGGGGGGGGGGCTGGAGAGTGAACCGGTCAGTGGGAGGTGAAAAAGGAGGGCAGTGCCTAAGGAAAGACACCAAAGGTTGACCTCTGGCTTCCACAGGCTTGTGCAGACCCCGCTGCACACACAAAAGGTTAGGTATGACAGGAGCGTCCTAGCACCCACCCCAATGTCACCCACACTCCCAAACCGCCCAGAATCACGTTCCTGGATCCAGTCTCTTATGTTTCTCTTCTGTCCTTTTACCTGTGCATGCTAGCACGCAGTCCGGGCCCTGCTAATTCCACTCCTTCTCGCTGTCCACCTTGTTCCTGAGACAGGTCTCACTGCCCTGGAGCACGCTGATTAGACTAGGACCCTGGATCCTCCTGTCCCCACCACCCCAATTCTGGGTTCCAAGGATCCCTTTCTGTCTGGCCTTATACACGGGTGCTGGAGACCAAACTCGGCCCCTCGAGCTTCTGTGTCATTTGTTTGTTGTAGAAGGAGCTGCAGGCCAGCTCCTGGCTGCCTGGCTAGCTTATGCCCCGAAATAACAACACACAAATTGTCTTCTATTAAACACTGCCTGGCCCATTAGTTTCAGCCTCTTACTGGCTAATTCTCACATCTTGATTAACCCATTTCTAATGAGTGTAGCACCACGAGGTGGTACAGGAAGATCATAACCTGCGTCTGTCTCAGAAAGGAGAGTCATGGAGACTGCCTGAATCGGCTTTCTTTCTCCCAGAATTCTATTCTGTCTACTCCACCCACCTAAGGGCTGGCCTACTGTGGGGAGCCACATACTCCATTACAGGATGGCGCCTGCATTCGTTAGCGCCAAACCGATAAGTAAGTTAGCGCGCATGTGCGTGGTAAATTTCCATCCCTAACTCTTTGCCTCTCCCGTGGCGTCATAAGGGCTGACGAGCTGCAGCCAGTCAGGGAATGACACGTCCTAGGCGAAGACCATTAACCTATTTAAGGGCTGGGTTTTCTTCCCCTGGGGTCTCCGCTCTGTAAGCTTATGCTCTCCCTCTCAAGATGCATTAAAGCTTTTCTGCAGAAGGATCCTGAGTGTGCCACGTCGTTCTTGCTGGCGAGACAGTAGCGCGGGACAGCCTACCAAAGGCCAAGCAGTTTCTTTATTAACCAATGAAAGCAACAGATAGACAGATGACACTCCAACATCATTTCCTCTTTTTCTGTTTAAACAAAAAAGGCTTTAATTTTAACATAGTAAAATTACATATAACAAAACAGTTATCAAGTAAGAATTACAGTTACAATATTTATATCTATTTTATCTTTTATCATAACTAAGGAAAACTATAACTATAACTAACCATTCTTCAACTCCATCAAAGATTCCAGAAAGAAATAATATTACCTAAGCAAACAAGAAGTCCAATACTCTAGAAATGACAGAGACATCTCACTGTCTGGACAGTCACCCAAAGTTGAAGCATCCATCTTCGGCCTACAGGCCCATAGTATCCAGCAGACATTTCCATGAAGCAGGAAATTTCAAAGACAGTTCAGTCACTATCTGCTGTGTCCTGCAGAATATCTCACAGATTCTTTCATGAAGCAGGAACCCCGAAAGACCATCTCACCTTTAGGCAATTTCAGCAGTCCTCTCTCTGTGGGTTCTTCATGTCCAATTTATACAATAGTCCAGGCAAGAACAGTTTCTTGCCCAAATGTCTATCAAACTCCATAAGGAGCCTCTTCAATGCCCATCTTCCTCTTGAAGTAGATTGGTGCTGCCAGGAGCAGACATGTCTCATTGTCATAAAAAGCCCTAAGTTATTAAAATATTAAATAACATATTCTGTAGTCTTTGAAAGATATGAAGAATGCTTACCTAACTGAAATATATCTCTATATATCTAGAAAATTAAACTAACATGACTACAAGCTTGACTATTATAGATGATTATCCATTAACAACCTATATTTTCTAATTATACATTACATTTTTTAATGATCTACATAATCACATACCTTAGTCAAGAACAGAAATACATATACATATAACAAAATTGACCTTAAAATCCATACTAATGCAAATTATTTATATCTATATCATATACCCCTTTAAATGTAAAAGAACATTTAAAAACAATATTTGGAAATATGGGCATAGTTATTTCTCTCCAAACTTCTTCCTGCTGTACAGGGGCGCTGATATTTAGGTCTTTCATAGTGTAACCTGTGTGCCAGGTTCATCTCAGGCGGCAGTTGAGTGAAGTAATTTTTTGAGGGTGTTCACAACAACCTTTCAGGAGGGCGTGATCTATCATACCATATTGGGATAGAAGCAATCCACAGGGTCTTGTCCTCTGTGAAAACAAAAGAAGACCTCTCCAAAGCAACATATCCTTAGACTCAAATTCTGAAATCATTACATCCTTATGATATCCATTTGGCAGCACGTGGCGTTTCCCATACCTGTGCCACCAGAATGGAGGAGGTGAAGCCAGAGCCTATGCTGTGAGGTTAAGAAGAGGTGTCGAGACCCCCCCCCCAGGGAGGAGTGTGAGAGCTGAGGGGCTCCCACCTGCCTGAGCAAGATCCCACCCCTCCGCAGGCAGCTTTCTGCTGATGTACCTCATCCTGCTGCTGCTGGTGGGGATCCCCCTGTTGTACATGGAGATGATCATTGGACAGTGGCTACGGAAGGACAACATCCAGGCCTGGAAGCAGCTGGCCCCCTGGCTAGGCGGTTTGGGCTACTCCAGCACACTGGTAGGTTGGGGCTGGCAGACCCACAAGTTCCTGGTGCCCTGTCTCCTCCATGTCGCCCCTCGGGCCCACCTTGTTCTCCTCAGGCTTGTGTGCTGGTGAGCCTGTATAACAGCGCTCTGATCTCCTGGAACGTCATGTACCTGGGCCAGTCCTTTGATTACCCTCCACCCTGGGAACAATGCAAGATGCATTCCCGTGACCATGGGAACATCAGTATGAATAGTAAGGAGAGGGACAGGGAGATGGGTTAGTTGCAAGAGCTATTGGAGGCAGCATGTAAGGTGACCTCTAAGTATCTGAATCTCTGCCCCCTCCTCCACGCAGAGATCCAGTGCCTTCGGACAGTGCCCTACCAGTATTTCTGGTATCACACAACCCTTGATGCCTCCAGCCAGGTGGAAGAAGGGATTGAGATGCTGGTCCTGAACACCACCCTGTGCCTCTTTGCCACCTGGGTCATCGTCTCTATCATCCTGATTATTAGGATAAGGATCTCGGTGCTTGTAAGTGTCCCCGTGGCCTCCTTCCTGCTGAGCTTCAGGACCTCCAACTCTCCAGAGGACAGGTTCATGTACACCCACCAGTGTCCCCAGTAAGTGTCCCATGGCAGAGGCCATAGCTACCTCAAGCAAGCTCTTGACGGGACTCTCTGGTCACCATCCCTGACACCCACCTCACTGTGCAGAGACTTCTCCTAGCTCTATCACCTCTACCTCCCTGGGCTTTCTGGTGTGCACGGTGACCCCACATCCATGTCCTGGGGCTTCAGGACCAGAGAAGTCCGAATTACCAAGATTCCAAACCACTTCCAGGAGAAGAAGAATATAGAGAATATCCTGATCTTGGTGGCCTTCTCCATTTGACTTGGCAGCATGTGGCATTTCCCATACCTGTGCCACCAGAATGGAGGAGGTGAAGCCAGAGCCTATGCTGTGAGGTTAAGGAAGGGGTGTCGAGACCCCCCAGGGAGAAGTGTGAAAGCTCTCGGGCTCCCAGCTGCCTAAGCAAATCTCACCCCTCCACAGGCACCTTTTTGCTGATGTACCTCATCCTGCTGCTACTGGTCGGTATCATTGAACAGTGGCTATGGAGGGAGAACATCCAAGCCTGGAAGCAGCTGGCCCCCTGGCTAAGCAGTTTGGGCTACTCCAGCACACTACAGAAATGGTTTTCTTCCTTGTGCTCCATCTGTGTCCCTGTGAGCATCTGGATTCCTCATACCAGTTCTTGGCACCGTTCCTACAAACAGTCTGCTAGGACTAGGGGTTCAGTGTGAAGGGGCCTTTTCCCATTAATCTTCTCACTGTGACCTGACATGAAGGATTTATTTCGGTCACGGTTTGAGGGTATACGGTGTGGTGAGGAACACATGGCTGGGACTGTGCGCATCCTTGGGTCCCCACAGAACAGGAGGCAGAGGAGCTGTGGTTCTCAGATGGTGTTCTCATCCCTCTTTTATTCCATCTGAGCCTCAGGGATGTTGGCAGATCCCAGTCTTTCTCTGGCTAGGAAGTGCCTCTGGGCCTCTTCTGTAGGCTGAGTGCAACCAACATCCTCTTTGGGAACAGAGCAGGAGCCATCCAGCAAGTTTTGAGAAGAGAGAGTGCTACTTGCTGGGTGAGGTACCCCGTGGCTGATTTTTTTAAATATTTATTTATTATGTATACAATATTCTGTCTGTGTGTATGTCTGCAGGCCAGAAGAGGGCACCAGACCTTATTACAGATGGTTATAAGCCACCACGTGATTGCTGGGAATTGAACTCAGGACCTTTGGAAGAACAGGCAGTGCTCTTAACCACTGAGCCATCTCTCCAGCCCTGATTTTTTTTAATTGTGTGTGTGGAGGGGTGCACATGAGTATAGGTACCTGTGGAGGTCAGATCTCCTGGAGTTGAAGCTACAGTCTGCTGTGAGTGTCTGTGCCTACTGTAGATACT